TAGTATCCCGAGTCGAAAAAGATTTAGGAGTCCTGGTGCCCCACGATTTAAAGTCCTACGTTAACTCTGGCAGAAATGCCTTTCGAGCAAACCTTTCACTGATAACATTGAAGCTCATTCTTGGCCACTTTGATGGAAGAACTTTCCACATAATGTTCAACAGTTTTATTCTCCCCATTTAGAGTACGCAAACAGTATTTCCTCCCTAACTCTAAAAGGATAAGAACACTCTGGAGCGTATCCAACGGCGAGCCACGAAATCAATTCGAGGACTCAAATTCAAACCTTATGAAGAGCGCCTCTGATCACTAAGCCTTTACTCAATAGAGTACAGTCACCTTGGAGGTGACATAATGACGTACAGTATCTTAAATACATCCGGACATTCCTTTAAACACTTAAGTGTAGTTCTAAGACAAACCTAAGGGGTAATATTCAGAAACTGGAGAAATACCTCATCAGAACCAACTATAAACACAACTTCTACTCCTTAAGAGTTGTCAAATTCTGGAATTCGTTGCCGGCTGAGCTGTTCCAAACGACTTCGCAGGAGTCCTTTAAGAAAAAACTAGACATATTCTTAGGGACCAAGGATAGTATCTAACAATAGTTACTGGTTTCTTTTTCCTCTTTTATCGATATTATACCTAAGCTCCTGCCTGGAGGTATTAATGATCCACTACTACTAGACAGGGAAGCCTGTTGAGCGATAGCTTCTTCTATTCCGTCCAGAACCATTTAAAGCATTTGAATCTATCAGATCATTGGTCCCTGCCAAGGTCAAGGACAACCAAAGCGCATTAGTTAATCGCACGACCTGGACTGATCCATACGGTGGTGGTCACACTTTCGCTTGTACCTAATGTAACTGATATGTATTGCTGTGATAACGTCCTTTGTTTTATACGGTCTTTACAGCAGCAATAGTACCTTCATTTGACGAAGGAGTAAACCACGTCAGGTGTCGATCGCGAAGTGTGACTTCGAAGTTAGCTACTGGTCTTACAATTTCCGTCTAACTCGAGTAGGCTCCCAAACATTCGGCAGAGATCATCAACATTGATCACCTATATCCTCCCCTAATTAGTATGTTTTGTGTTCTCGCGATCATCTATTTCTTCATAGGTTTAAATGTACCACTCCCTTAAATCTTTAACACCTTCTTTTCCATATTTAAATGATTGAGCTTCTAAAGTAAGAGTAAAATAATATTTCCGTAGGCTGGAAAATGTCCTGATGATATCTCCCAGAATTCAATAATTGGAACTTTCTCTTTTTAATTTAATCAAATTCCCTCTTGTGCAGGGAGGTACCCCCCACTCTACTGAATAAACAAACCAGACTGGTAGTGAATAGGTCTTTATTAAAACCGTGGGACAGTGATATAACCTATACGTAGTGCCTTATTAATTTATAATGTATACCGCCAATTAAAGAATAACGAATTATCGATCGGACAAATGATGCATGAAACCCGTACGAGCAGTTTAGAGTCTTTACTGGTCCTGCTTCCCTCCCAACCTAGTCAAGTCTGTTGAGTCCAGAACACCAATCTCAGCCTCCGTGATATGAATCATGTATTTCAAACATACTGGGTTTATATACAAACCAAACAGACCATGTCGTACCACAAAATAAGAAACAACATTTGTACAAGATCTAGCCAAAAATGGATGTGAATGTGGGAGATAGTAATTGATAGACTGGGTATAACTCAAGAATGGTAAATCGTATAATAATAGTTCATAGGTCAAGGTGACGCTTATGGTAAGACGAACACGAATATGAATACATTAGTTACTTAACAATTATACGATAAAAATATATGTGTAGTATTATTCCAGAAATAGATCCCAACAGTTACCATTCATTATTCTCATTGGAATATAACAGGCAGCATACAGTGGAGCGCGAGGTTACATAAAGCTTTTCAACATTCAATATCAGATAATAGGAAATATAATATCTACACGAAATGAGGAAGTGAATGACATATACTTGGATGTTTGAGGTCAACTCATTAACTAATCAACCCAAGATGTCACGGACCTTCCTCAACAAATATCCTCTGAATTATATTTTGTTGATTACAATGAGTTTTGGATACAAGTTCTCGACAAGTATGGTAAACTAGCACTTCAAGAGGATAAAAAAGCATGTTTAATGAAGGGGGAAAAACGGTGGACCAAGTTTCAGCACTCCATAGTGCAAAGTGGTCCATCTGTAGCGTGTTGGAAACTGTGGTGGTTTGGCTTCGAGATAATTCTCTACACTTCCTATACCAATCACCCTGATAACCATTATTAGATAAATTCCAACGGCCTAATAACCCAGGAGGCAACACTAAGCGCCAACTACAGTTTATTATAGAGTAGCACAGATCACAAAGCTTCAAATGCACCAAGTGAATGTGAGCAGAATAGCTAGTACGTGCGAGTAAGTGAATACAGAGGCGAATTCGAATTCGAGTCACTTCGTAAGACTCAAGCATATATATATATATATATATATATATATATATATATATATATATATATATATGAGAAAGCAAATGATTCGTTGGGCGATTTTCAAGCAACTAATATTTAAGTTAGACAAAGGAATATGCGCATAGACCGTCACATGTGATCAGGCATACATTTTCATACGGAGATGATAGTAATAATAATCACACAAAGGCTAAGACAAATCGTTGCTGTTCAAATAACACTGTCTGTTAAATGAGTTAAGTGAAGGACTCGACAAAATTAATTGTAAACAAACTTAATTGTAGGAGAGATGTTATAAAGCCAACCACAAAACGTAGGTAGCCGTAGTCCAAAAAATCTTGAAATCCTGTCACTCTAGATTTAAAATCTTATGCAATTAGTGGCAATAATCCCTCTAGATCGAACCTTATACTAGGAACTTTGAAGTATCTTTCTTACTAGTTTAATAAGATAACCTTTCACTAAAGATTTATCAGCTTTATTCAAACTTGGTGTTTGGTAGTAGTGTTTACTCATAAAAAAATATAGCCTGGGTTGTAACCATAAATGAGCCACGAAATTTATTCGTAGACTCAGATGCACGCTTTACTCAGAAACCTTCAAGTTACTGGATCTTTAAACTTTAGAATAGAGGGGACTCATAGACGTTCGCTCAAAGACTGACAGTTTTATAAACACCTACGAAAAAATCCAGGAATTAGTGGCACGACATGACAAATTAGACTGTAGGCACAACTTCTACTTGCTACGAGTAGTCAGATTTAAAAAACTCACAACCAACTGACGTTTTCTGAGGTTCTTCAAGAGCAAAGTAGAACATTAATTTTTACCAGTGTACTAATGCTTATAATACTTGTTTGCTCTGCATCTCTAGGTCCCTAAATTAGACCATCGCCAACCCAATACAAGCAAATACTAAACCTGTCAAGTCAAAGCTTCCTACATTCCGTCTGTAACCATTTGAATCATATGAAATGTGACCAAAATACTTTTCAAGCAGCCTTAATACAAAGTTGGATTATGAATAAACACCTGATTACCTAAGCGGAGTCAAGAGTCATCGCTTTTTGAAGGCTGACATGATCCAGGCGACTTTTTCGTGGCCTTTAAATTGAAAATATTAAATTCCATGAGGACTTCACACGGACCATAGTGCTAATTTTCCAGTTTCCATTACTTGCTCCTCCTTACAAATACATAGGTCCCAACATAATAGTAACCCTAATCTATTTTTATCGGTAGTGAAACCTCATTGAGTGAATGCTCATTCTATTCTGTCTACATACATCTTAGGCTCCTTGCTCTTCCTTCTCTACGTTAATGAGTTACCGCCGTTACTTAGGTCGTCAACATTATTGTTTGCGGATGATGTAAAAATCTGGAGAACAATAAAAAGTGCGGCTGATCATCTGGATCTTCAAGCTGACTTAGCCGATTTAGATAAATGGGCTCGAGAGTGGGGCTTAGAAATCAATGCTAGGAAGAGTGTGCTAATGCGCATCGGTCACGGTAATAGTTACAGTTATACTATTGAGGGTAAACCTTTTCCATGCGTTTAAGAGCATAAAGACTTAGGAGTAATAACAAGTCATGATTTAAAAACAACTACGCATTGCAAAGCAGCCGCTGTCAAAGGTTTTCGTGCGTTATGGTCACTTCGCCGAGAGTTCAAATCTTTTGACGAGGAAACGTTTCGAATTTTATATCCCATATATGTAAGACCACATTTAGAGTGCTGTATCCAAACAGCTAGCCAGTTTCTGGTAAAAGATACTAACTCCCTTGAGCGTGTCCGGCGTGTGGGAACGGAATTAGTGAAGGGTCTTTCTAGACTCCCTTACAATGAGCGTTTACAACGCCTAAACCTTTTCCCCTTGTCGTATCGTAGGACACGAGGTGACCTTATACTGGCATTTCGTACCTTTAATTATGATTTGGGTGTTAGTATGCCTTATCTTTTTGCTCCTTCTAGAATTAATAACCTCCGAGGTCATAGCAAGAAGGTTCATAAACCGCTATCTAATAAACTTAAAGTGGGGTCCCGTTTTCTCATCGAGTAGTCAATGATTGGAACGTCCTACTCTAACAAGTGGTATCAGCCCCATCAGTGAATATTTTCAAGGAGAAGCTGGATCTTCACTGAAAAGCAATGTGTCAGGATTAATAGAGGTTCACCAACCTACTATTCTTATTACTGAAGACTGAAGACCGAAAATAATTTGTTAATTTCGACTGTTCGAACAAAAGGTCACCCAAATTGGATTTCAGGGTCATTATTGTAGCGGGTAATGCTGTTTGCTCCCACTTTCGATCCCAAGATTGCCTTAGTTTAAGGCTTGTGTTATTGCTGATTGCTGTCTGCTTCTTTCCTTGGTAACTGTAAGTGCACTATGTGCGTTTTTAGGTCATCGAAACACCTTTCCTTATTCTTTTTTCAGCTCTGACTGGCGTTACTCTGCGTGCTTCTCTAGTACACAAGTACCTACTAGCTAGACACGAACCGCCACAGTTATGAATGATAGGTTGCCCGATGTGTTTTCACAAGTCTTGAAGAAGTACTCTGAAGTTGCGGACTATAAAGGGTCGTATGCCGATCCGAAATTTAAGGTTTTATCTCGATTTTGAGCTTTATTGTCAGGATCTCCTCGTGATTGCGTGTCGATTGTGTGAAAATGCAATGAACATGGTTAATGAACTTTGCTTGTTTAGCGAAAACGAAAGCCTAGACGATCTAAGCTCTGCCGAAATAAGGTGATAATATCTTTCATTTGAGACTATTTGATACAGATACATATGTCTTCCTGCATTACTTGGTTATTTCAACTCTCAGAAAAACGAAGATCGGCTATCTTGTATTCGTTTGGCTTTGGTATGATATGTTTGTCCTGATTCGCTTGAGTTAGTCTCTCTACAAGGACTTTTTCAAACTTTGCTCAGATTATGGCGTGTTGTTTCCAAGTGGAGTATCTTGGGAAAAGTATGTTTTTTTGCTTCTGATTTTTAAACATTCTTTTGAATCAGCATTCCCTGTACTTTTAAGTTTATGTGTTTTCTGTTGATCAAAGTCAGCTATTTCTTCAGACGCTTAGAAGTTGAGCAATTATCCAAGTAAACGTTGCTTTGAATGAGTTTTTAAATTATTAAATACATGAATGGGCCTCGGAAGAAATCCGTGTAACTCTGGTATCCGTCTCAAGGTTCATGTAAAATTCGTTAAGACATACAGAATTGGAAAGACCATTAGATGTACTCGTGCTTCAAGTTTTAAACCTTGTATAGTGTTAGAACACCCGAACACTTCAGTTAACTATCATAATGTTGTTAGCCAAACATCGCCATACGACTATGCCACATAATTTTGGAACTGGATAACCACTTGTCAATTGGCTTAGTTTAGATTATGTGAATCTCAAAGTGGGTACCTGTAATTGCAGAAGTAGGTTATCGGTAAGGACGAAATGAATGATTTTGTTAGCTAGTGCTACCTTAGCTGAAATGTTATCCATGTTATTCCACTCTTTAATTTCGTGTTTTGCTGCTAGTTTGGTGGGTATTGTGAACTACTGATAGCCAGATCAACCCATAGCGTCCGTTTATGCGTTTTTGTAAACTATGTGAAAAGTATGACCTTCCTGACCTCCGTCTGCAAAATCATAAATTCATGAATAAAAACTGACGTTTTCTTTTCTCAGACATTTTAAGCAGCGGTCTTGCTTAGGACTATGTTTTCAGGTAAAATATGCATATTCTAGTATTATAGATTTATGTTTCTCTACACCTTACTTAGAAACAACCACAGTTCCGGTCAGCCCTCAATGTCAGATCTTGCACACGATCGTGAAGTCAAAATAAAACGTTATAAATCAAAGAAAGCGCTAGAAGAACGCTTGGAAAAGCTTGCGTCGTACGTGGACCAACCTCATGTTGATGAAGAAACCAAGGTATACAATTTTTATATATCAGTAGTAAACACTACTAACTACTTTTTCTTCACTAGTTGTATCTGTCGGACAAAAATATATCTAGACGAACCTATAACTTCTTGACCGACGGTAAACGCTAAGATTGTAGCAAAAGCACTACTCATTAATTATACAGCTGTGTAAACGACAACTAGTTACCTCAGATCATCTATAATAGACTCAAATGACCAGTCATAAATGAGATTACACAAAATGACACGGTTAGTGTTTGAGTAATACGTTTATAACATGAGGTCCATTCATGTAAAATTTAGAGGGAAAATTGTGTTTAACCGTCTTAAACTTTTAGTTATAAACGTGTATAGATATCGAATTTAGAGGTTATTTAACAGGTAGCTAACGAAATCACATTCCAGTCATTATTAAAATCCAGCTAACGAATCAACATACGTATTCCTTATGATGCAATAACTGGCATAAGTTCTTGGATTGATAGTTATATACCTTGATTCTTACTAACAATGCATATTTACAACTCCAGGGATAATCATGATATCAAAGTCCATAAAGGTCATTATGTGTTTATTGCTATGTAATCACGAAATATTTCATGTAAATAAATATGAAATTTCCGCTGTACCTTGACGTCTCATCAAATGACTACTGATTGCCTAATGAATCACTGTCGCTATTACTTATATGGCGTGGATGTCCAAACTGTATCTCATAAACTTTGTTACTCTATTCGTATCATTTTTAATAAATGGTTTACTGGACATCGTAAAAGTCATCCATATTTTATGTTAACTAAATAGTACACTTAGAAACCCTTCTTTTTTTCCCTTCAAATGATTTCATAATAATCGAGAAGCTAATATTTTGAACTGAATAGATCGAGTTCCGTCAAATTGCTTTAAGATGCATCAGCTCCAGTTTCACCGAGAAGAATTTGATCTTAATATCATCTCCAATTCACTGCTAAGTTTATACAAATTTTTGAAGTCAACATTTTCAGCAATACTGCCAATGTAAGACACCAATATTAAATGTAAGTAAAGATATGAGCTACTAAGAAGCGATAAAAGTTTATAGTAATGTGATTTCCAAGATTTAAGCAGATAAATAATTGATAATCCGTTTATTTTATTGGTGTTTTTTCCATTTAATTGGTACTTTGATCCAATCATCCACAATAACCAAGACAAATCAATCATTAAGTATATAGTCACTGTAGGAGAATGTGTCAAAGACAGTTCCTCGATTCTTTTGTTTAACACTCTTGATTTTCAGGAAATTAATTACAAAACCTCAATTATCTACGCTTATTTTGTAGCGTGAGTTCAATTTAACTCTTGTTCAAAGATGGCTTTGCGTCGCGCAAGATGATATAATCAGTCTACAAAATGAACTGGACATTCTCGAGAAAGGCAGTCCCATGAACGAGAATAACATAAATGTGACCAGATCAGAACCTTTGCGACCATTTATAATAACTCGGTCAGCTGCACAAGCTGCAGTGTTCGGCGCTGGTTATCCAAGCCTTCCAACAATGACTATTGAGGAGTTTTATGACCAACAGGTTAGCTAGATTGTTATTGTATTTTACTGCCATCACACCGTTCTTTAAAGCAGAACGACAGATTAGTAGTTACACCACTCTATTTGCAAATAATTACAATCAAATTCAGATGTTACTTGCCCAGCTTTGATTTTCGTGACCAACTAGTATCATGATATATAGCATTATCAAGCTAAAAAATAAATACATAAACCTGTTCTTAAAATTGGTTAAATTTCATAAGTTAAAGTTAGTGAATATGACACTTTGAGGGCATATCCATTCTTATCTGATAGTTCCATTTAAAATTTAATTATAATTTCTTTTACAATGTCTATCATCCTTCAAATCCAAAGGGTAAAAATTAAAGTGATGGAAGCAACGTTTTTTTTAGTCAAGTTCTCTCAGTCAACTTTTGATAGCATTTTTTGAACGTGACTGAAGAAAAGTAGGATTTTGACTACTCCGATTTATATTCTCTATAGATAAATATCAATACCAACATATTTGCAGGGAAACACTTTTCTCATCATAAGTTTTAACAAACTGGCTTAGTCATAAAATAACCAGCTGTTACGTAGATTTTTTTATTCTGAAGTGTGACAATACAGGTTTGGTTTCTTTTATATATATTTTTAAAATCATCATGAGAAATACTAGTATTTACCGAACGAGGCGTTCAGCATTATCATTCATTTAGTATGCCAGAATCAATTGAAACATGAAATAGTAATTTTTAACGTACCAAACAGTTCTTCCCAAAAATAGGGCTACGAAACTTTAAAAAACCTGTCTTGTTTGTTACGGTGCTTTCGTTTCATTAGATGTCAGACTTTTATGATGTAACTTGGTAACTTGATAATGTTCAAAACGACAAGTATGTAGCTTAGGAAACTTGGTAGCACCCCAGCACAGGCTTTCTACCTTGAAGAGCGGTGCTTTGTAATCAAGAAATAGGTTGAAAGAAAGCTAAGGGTAACCAAACCAAGACATAGTATCAATTGGTGAAGTCACTAACTGGTGGTTTGAGTCATATACGTAGATGCAAGCTACCTGGTCGTGGTCTGCATGATAACCGTAGTCAGTGGTCAGAGAAATTGAGTGGCATGGCTCTGAATCGCTCACAGTGGTGCAGATACATTAAATCTCCATATTACCCTAGGTCTTGAATTTCAGTATCTCTTCATACATACCTTTCCTCTGTCCTTTTAAATCATATTCCTTAAATTTAGTTTTTCTTTTTTCAGTGCTACGACATTGTTTCTATCCGTTCTGTTATTTTCCTTTTATCATGCTGATTAGGTGTTGCAAACCCACCCCTCTATTCATATCTACTAGGTAGTTTTTCAATATTTTCATTGTTACCTATTCGCCGTAATTCAATTGTCTTTTTTTCAAATATTATAACACGATCACTCAATAAATTCTGTTTCATTGATATTTCCGGTTGTTACCAATTTGTTTGTTCTGTTCTTAGGTTGCAGCTGGTTTATTACCTCCCCCAAAACCTATTCTTCAAAGTGGATCACGACCAAATGTGGTGCGAATTGATCCATCAGCAGAAGAACGTGAAGCTGAGGAAAAGAAAAAGGCTAACCAAGATGAATTAGAGGATGCCGATGATCCTGATATGTTGTCAAAAGCTCGATCATTCGATGAATTCAAAGATGAACATCGTAGAGGTAGCGGAAACAGAATGAATAGGGCTTGAAGATCTCTGCTTACTATGTATAGGTTAAACATTTATTCAAGTTGTGTATAAATGCCAAATACAGATACTGAACTAAACTTCTTCGTTTTCTCTAGTTTAATATTGAGTGATAATGATTATTCTCTATCCTATTAAATAATATGCATTACTATTAGGTTGGAAAAGGTTCGACAGTAAAAACGGAATCACTGGCTGTCCATTTGAGTTTTGTACAGACTTTCGAATTGAGCTTCAACAGATAGTCATGATGTGTAGGCAGAGACTAAGTGACATGGCTCAAAATTAGTCGCAACTGTTCAAATGTATTTCTTGTTTGTCTTATTCTAATTCTTTTTTAGGGTACTGCCCCTTATTTTTCGTTCCGAAATTTTATCCATTTCTCTTTATTCATAGGTATCCATAAGAAACACTAACGAAAACAATGTCAAAGAAACCTAAAGTTCAATTTATTCAAAACGAAGAACCGTCATTTATAAAAGAATTTAAACAACGTGCCGGTATTCCGACAGCTGCAACTATTGACTCGAAAGTGAGTTAGTAGTTACCACATATCACCCATATTAAGATTATTGATTACAACAACGGTTAACAAACAATTTAATAGTAAAGTTTCTTAGAGTTAATGCCTCCTCTCTTTATTACTGTTATTTTTCAGCGTACAGAATTAAGTATTGATGATAATGATGAAGATGATCGGCCAGATGAGCAGCCACAAATAGTTTTTGATCCATGTTCTGATGTTCATGAATTAGAAGCAAGAGCATTTATTAAACAATGGCAGTATGAACATAAACTTGGTCATATAGAAGAAACTAATGTGAAAAATGAAGAACCAGGTAAAATTTCTATTTATTTTTTTCATTCACAGTCCCTTCCTAATTTTATTTTCTTTATAATTGTTATTGTAGGCGTACCAAGTCGAATAATGTTTCGATCTGCTGAAGAACGTTGTTCCGATGGTAAAATCCCAGTAAAGAGGACAGATAGTGAGATTCATTCAAATAATCGACCACTACCACCTCAACAACAAAAACGGACTATCCGAGATCGTTCACCCATTGATTCTAAACGTAAAGACACGAAATGTTCATTGTTGTCATTTGATCTGGACGAAGATGAAGGATAGATTATAGTTATTGTTATTCCCAATAACATTTGACGCCCTTATTATTGTAACATATTTTTCGTTATTCTTTGGTGTATATGTTGAGTAATTATAGCAAAATATATTCACTACTCAAATATCTGATGTTTGCTACTCATTGACATAATATTTCTTTCATAAATATCTCACTGACATGTTTATCATATTAGAATTCAACAGTATATCGCCGCAAAACTACCAGCGTCATGGGTGAATATAAACCACAGTAAAAGAGATTTTACTTTATTCATTACTCATCTTCAAATTATATTTATTTGTGTAGGATCAAGTTACTCCAGCCGGCTGCTAAAACCGAATTACGTAGAATGTGATTCGAATCGGTAGTTTCTAGGTTTGAAATCAAGTGCTTTAATTACTTATTAATGGAACCAGACGCATGTGAAGGAATAAAATTAAACATTAAGTAAGATAAATACTGAGAACATGTATTTATTAAAAAGAAAGAAGCACACTAATGTCATATTAATTTCAGGTTTATCCTCACAATTACTTCAATTAGAAATATATGCCTGACTTATCAGAAATCCAACTAACTGGAATTTTTTAGGTCTATATTTCATAACCTAGATATTTTACAAGCAAGTTACAGTCATTTTAGTCAGTTTGTATTGATATTCTAATCGAGTTTTGCAGTATTGGCTTGAATCTAGGCATCTAATTCATTGAGTAGTCCAATCACGTATGTTGGTGTACAAGTACATATAACTACTATCTGACTGTTAGTTACTTCAATGGGAACTATACGAATCGAATCTATGCCAGATCAAGGTATGAGTTGTCGATGATGTAGATGAATATCATGAAAATTATGTTTTCGTTGAGATCAATGTTAGACTACCATTGAATACCTAGGAGCATTGGACGGCCGTTTTGTATTACAATGGGACTACTCAATAGTACACATTACAGTCCCTCACGCAGGACCTTCGGTCTCGCGTGCAAATGCTTGACCTTCAGACTACTGAGCTGGCATTCAACAGTATTAATGTCTAACTCCAACCAATCCAAGATATTCCACAACCATCTTGTGCTTAGTAACAAAAGACATTTAAGTGTTAATTTGTCCATAGTTTCTTAATTACCGAAATGGTGTCCACTTATCCTGAGGCGAAATAATGTGTTTAGTAGGACTCGCACATTTTGTACATGAGAAAATAGGAATCATCATACTGAGATTTCTAGTACAACAGTTAGTCAACTACTAAAGGAAGTAGGTGTTAACAAGTTTGATTATTTGAACTGGTATGTAAGAATTGCACCATTCTGCCAGGTTCTTAGATAGGATCTAAGCGTGAATTAGTGAGCTTGAATCATTTGATGTTTACAAATTGATACCCAAACAACTAAATCCGGTAAGCATACCTGACTATTTGGTTGGTGATGTAATGCATATTGAAATAAGGAGACTTCTGTAACACAGTCGGTTGATACTCCTCTCAGTAGAAACATGGTTAGCTCATAGAAAGGTTTTAGTCGAATCCGACCGAAACCGCCTACTATGCTGTGTTGTTCGTCCCACTTCCTAATGAATATTAGTTATTAGATTAACAATAATATATCCTAGTGCCCTATTCATTAACACTATTTAATCCTGGTTCTAATGAGATAATCGTAATAATTATAGACTAGTTAGCTAAATTACTCCACACTAACGGACATCTATCGTATACAAGTTACCGACCCGGTTACAAGAAAAATGTCGGTACATTCTGCTGAATTCGTTTGAACTCACAGAATTATTTGCAATGAAGATATATTTCAGCATCTTGACAATCATGTTGGGGAACAAACAAAAAATGCCCATATCGACAATTTTCCTTTATCTTTTGTAGGTTTGATATATCTCCAAATTTAACTCAAAGCCAGTTCGTTATGATCAACGCAGAACTTGGGACATACATAAGTTCTCACAACATCAACATATTGAGATGAAATTACACTATTATTTATATAAAATCATAAGTACATGTATAAACGTACCTTGATTACATTCCTTTGAAACAACACTCAACAATTGCTGACTGATTTCTCTTTGTTTGGCACTGAGCTAGTTTCGTTTACTATGGAGTTTTGGTCGATTTCCCTGTAGTTTGTACAGGTTGGAACTTGGAAGTCACAGGGACCAGATAATAATTCATCTGAAGGGTATCCTCTGACTTCTGCTACAGGTGTTATTCGAACCAACAAAATTAAATAGGAACATTGGAGTTTACCTCCAACGTGTATATAAGAGTAAATTTTCTTATGATGAAAGTTGTTTGGGGTGATCTACTTGTACTTTTCTTTGACATTTTCCATGAGAGTGGATGGATTGTGTTTTCTTATTTTATTGAATTGTACCTCATACTACACACTATTCTTGATCACTTATCGCCTTTATTTCTACTTGTGTAGGGCATAATTTTAAGGTACTCAACTGTACCAGAACTAATGTGTTTACTTAGTAACTAATAAACGATGAAAACAAAGTGACTGTCAGGTTTGTACTTGAGCACTTGACTGACCTTGAGTACTATATTTCCGTACATTAGCAACGAACTAATAAATCTATTGGAATCAAATAAAACTTGCTACTATCAAACTAACTTAAAATGTTTTTTCAAAGTCATTAGAACAAGGCATTTTTATCACAATTAGCATAGAATTGTAAATTCTTAGCTTGTAGAACATTTAAATCTTCTTATCTTGATATTTACAATTGAGAATTAGATAGCATAACTCTCTTTCCTCCTCTTCTCAACCTTCAGCATCTTGACCTTAGATGCTTTCTTCGCGACCTTTAGGAGGCATCACCTTGTAGACGAACGCGTAGCCATATGGATGATTTCCTCTACTGCATGCATTACGGATTTTAGAACCTCTTCCTAACCTTGACAAGTTTTTAAATCATGTATGAGAAGTGTGTCCACAATAATTCTTTGGTTTTGTATAATATATTTTTACCCTATACTAGCTGTCTGGTGATTGGCTAATATTTCTCAAGGTCACTTAAGATTCACTCAAAGCTCATCCACAAATTATAGTCTCGCCGATGGTTTGGTCGTGAAGCTTTCATCGTTCTTCTGAACGACATCATCAGCACAAACTTCAGGTAGAAGTGGAGTGTTCGAATTTCTCCACATTTGGTTCATAGCCTGTCCTGTTGACTTTTAACTTGTAATTGACAAGTTTATGCTGATGATGTCGTTCAGAAGAACGATGAAAGCTCCACGATCAAAACCATCCAGCTTAGAGAACAAAACTCCATAAAAATCATCCGATTCAGCTACAAATTTTCTCTAATTAATTTATTCCCATACTTTTAAGTTAATAGTAAATAGAAAGAAAATCTTACAAAACATTTATTGAGTTAAACAGTAATGTGTATCATGAAATTAAACATGATTCACAAATACTATTAGTCACTCTCTCTCTCTCTTCATCGAGTAATATAATATATTACTTCGAGTAAACAACACCCAATTCATTTCAAAGATCATATTACATAAAATAGAGCAACTGTTGTAGATGTTCTTTTCTTTCGGATCATTACACACACACACACACGAATACCAAGTACATTATTTATAATCGAGGTAGTAAAAGATAACCAATTAAACAGGATTACATAATTAATAAGAGGAATGGAAAGAGATCAAACATTTATTTTTTTTAGAGAAAATAGACCATGTTGAATTCAAGTCATTAAAACGAACAATTGTATGTACGTATGTACTGTATATACAAACCTTGTCCTGTTCTAGTTTTAATGTTTAAAGAAGTGAATAGTAGATAACAACAAAGAATTTAAGGTATATGTATGTGTTTTACAAAGAAAGACAAATATCTGGCAATTGCATTTTTTCTTAAAAAGAAAAAAAACTTTTTGTAGTTTAACCTAAACGACCACCCCCACCACCACCAAACGGTCCAAGACCACCGCCAGCTTGTAATTGACGCATCATATTTTGTAGACCGGCCATACCGCCCATTTGTTGTAGGATACGTGGATCAAGTACTTTTGCCATTGATTGATTCAATTTTGCCATCTGACCTGCACTGACAGATCGTGAAGCTGCAGCCATTTCAGCTAAGCTTGGTGTATTCCCACTACCTCCTGCTCCGCCCCCAGCTCCACCAGGACCACCACCTAATCCACCCATAGCTCCACCTTTTGATCCAGTTTGAAATAGTCCTTTGATACCACCCATTTTTTTGACAACCATATAAAATTTGTTATGTTGAGTTAATAGAAGTTTTACTTCGGCTTGACTAACACCTGCCCCACGAGCAACTCGTAATGTTCGTCCAGGTTGTCGATTAAATAAACGTCCTCCTTCATCCGAGTCTAACTCATAATCATTCATACTATCCATAATTGTCATAAGACGTTTTAAACGTCGATGACTTTCCTTTCATAGATAAAAAAGAATCATATGGAAAAGACTGTTTGGTTAAATTACTACAGAAGATAATACACAGAGGACAAATAAAATTCATAATATTGACAGGTCATTTGATTATTGCAAATTTACAAAGATGAGAAAAACGATATTTACTTTGATTCGCTACAGTTGGTGAATTTAATACAAATATTTTGCAAAATAAGTTGTTTCATGTACATTGTACATAAACTGTGGTTATATTAACCACATATAGTGAACCAGAACTCAGATGGGCAAAAAACCACACAGTAGCTCAGTAAAATATGAAAATCATACATTAAATACATCATTTACACATCTTCTTTCTGTTATCTTTTACACACTTCATTACTTTTCTTATTCTGTTGTTATTCAGATTGCTCAACGATTTCCTTCCTGTTCTCTTCATTGTAATCTCCTCCTTACAGGCATTCACCCTCCGGATGCTGCTATATATTACTTATATCTGTCAGCATAAGTAGCATACACCACACATATCTAGTAGTACATATAAATTATTGTATGAAATCAAACAAAATGGCTTCAGAGTGCTCACCA